ATGAAAGATAAGATAATTTACAAAATAATGAAAAATAAGAAGAAAATTTGGGTGACAGAAAAATTCGGAATTGAATTGATAAAAAAAGTGCACATGGTACAAGGACATATTGGAACGAAACAGCTAATATTAATGGTAGCTAATAAGGTTTATTTTAAAAATATGTACAAACATATTAGATGGATATGTAGGTCATGTGACACGTGTATAAGAAATAAAACTAGAATTGGAAACTTTAAAGCACCGTTATCGCAAATAGGACCAGCTAGTAAACCATTTGAAATTATTTCGTTGGATACAATTGGAGGATTTATAGGGAATAGAAGTACAAAAAAATATCTACATTTAATTATAGACCATTTTACAAGGTTTGTATTTATTTTAACATCGAAGTTACAAGTAGCGAAGGATTTCATCCACCTAATAGAAAAAGTTGAAAAAGAAGGGACGATAAAAATTTTACTTGCGGATGAGTATGCAGGTATTAATTCGAAGGAATTCAAAGGGTATTTACAAAAGAAAAATATACAATTAATATTTACGGCTGTAGACTGTGCCTTCTCTAACGGTATGAATGAAAGAACAAATCAAACCTTAGTAAATCGAATTAGGTGCAAAATTTTCGAACAGCAGAACCGGCCATCAAGATAATTTAGAAGAAAATAGAAGGAGAGCAAGAGAGAATGCAGAGAAGAGCCATAGGCAGAATAAGGAATATTATGATAAAAATAGTGTAATTATCGATTATAAAGAAGGAGATTTAGTTTATGTACAAAATAGCTCTAAGTTAAATAGAAATAAGTTAAATTGTATAAGGAAAGGACCGTTTAAAATAGAAAAGAAAGTGTCGAATACAATATTTACAATTGATACTGGTAATAAAAAAGAATCAAGTATGTATCATGTAAGTAAGTTGGTGCCTTATAAAATGCATAATTAACTCTTACCTGTGTTTTTGAACGGGGGGATGTAAGGTATCTGATTCAAACACAGCTAAGAGTCATGTGACTCTTAGTACCTTTCGTCTTATGTATGATTGAATGTAAATAAGCGTATCGATGTCAGATAGAGGCAGACGGTTATACAGGATACAACGTACTGTAGTTCCGACATTTGTGTTGATTCAGGTTAGTTTAATAATGTTAATTTTGTAAATAATGTAAATAGTAAATGTTAAATAAATCCCACAGTTATTTTACTGCAACAACCACGTCGTGTCATTTAAATAACGCCCAAGCTTACAGCTATTCTTTGCGTTTTTCATTGCAGTTTTTTTCCATTCGATAGATATAGTGTTAGTCTTTGCAATCTATATTGTTAAATATTTTTTAAATAAAAAAATATTTATTTAATGTAGCTGTTTCATATTTGGTACCCTATTTTTCGAAATGATCGGATTTTTGGAACACCGTATCTTCGTGTTCCAAAACTACGTTCACGGCAGTATGCAGAAGTTCCTATTCTTGAGACGCTTTTCGAGGCTCTTAATTTTTCTAAGATTTACGCTTTTAGCAATATAAAGTATTAGTTTAAATAATATTTATCGTAGCAGTGCATGAATGTACGACTGGATACATTTGATTTACAACCAGTAAGTGTTTATAAAAAACTTTATGTCTATGTTTACTCAGCATAACCTCAAATGTAACCTACTGATGATATAATTTTTCTTCTAGCTTGGATTGATTCACCAACCATGCCACGAGTAGTCAAAACGAAAGCAGCCAAACAATTAACAAAAATAAATAAAAAAATCCGTAGGAACAATTTGAAGAAACACAAAAGGCATGAAGTAACTGTGGTTAAAAACGCTATTGCTTCTATCAAGAGAGGGAACTCTTTCAGGGAAGTATCTACAGAGTATGGTATCCCATTGTCAACATTGCACAGAAAATATTCTCTTCCTGAAGATAAATTGTGTGGCAATAAACGTGGACGTGAACCTCACTTAAGTTTAGAAGTTGAAAACAACATTGTAAACTAGATACTGTTTAGAGCTGAAAGTGGTATGCCAGTGAGCAAAATGCAAGTGCAAGAAAGTGTACAAACGTACGTCAGAAGCTTAGGTCTCAAAAATCCTTTCACTAATGATCGTCCTGGTCGAAAATGGTACTCAGCATTTCTGAAACGTCATAAAGAAAAACTATCTACTCGTACAGTTCAACATTTGACATTTAAAAGGGCTAGCGTTACACAAGAAGACTTGAGAGACTGGTTTGAAGCTGTCGAAGCTCATTTACAGTTAAAAAATTTATTAGAGATACATTCATCAAGAGTATTCAACTGTGATGAATCTAGTTTACAATTTTGCCCAAAACCAAACAGAGTTCTCGCTGAAAAGGGTGCTAGATCAGTCTACAAGATTGTGGATGCAAATGAAAAAGAAGCTTTGACAGTTCTTTTCATGTACAGTGCTTCTGGTGAGATGGCCTCGCCAATGTGTATGTATCCATACCAGGACAAAAGTATTTTGGACAAGTGTCCAAAAGATTGGGCCATTGGTCTTTCAGATAATGGATGGATGACCATAGAAAGTTTTTATGAATACATCACAAATGTTTTCTATCCATATCTTGTAAAAAAAGAGGTGCAATTCCCTGTAATACTGTACCTTGATGGACATTCCTCTCATCTCACAATTCCACTGGCCAAGTTTTGTCTTGAAAAGAAAATTGAAATTGTTGTTCTGTACCCAAATTCCACCCATATTCTCCAGCCTTTGGATACATCATTTTTCCATACATTCAAGGAAGTTTGGAAAAGGATTGTGCCTAAATGGAAACTGGAAACTGGCAATACACGTCTGTCAAGACCACATTTTGCTACTGTTTTTAAGATGGCGATTGACTCATTCATTGGAGCACAACAAGCAATCATCAATGGATTCAAAGGAACTGGTCTTCTGCCATTCAACCCAGAAGCTCCTGATTTAGATGTATTGAAGAAATGAAAAAAAAATAAATTCTGTAATAGATCTGAAACGTCTGCAGTTTCTGAAACGCCAAACTTAAGTCTTGAACAAGAACTTGATGTAATTGAAAAAAACTTGCCACCTGAAGTACGGCAAGACTTTTTACTGTCAGAGGCTGGATCATGGACTGGCGACTTCAAGAATCAAGGCTTATTTGAATTTTGGCGCAAGATTAAATATAAAAAATTGGGTATTTTGAGTTTAAATTAATTAATCAAAAGAAAATTTCAATAGTTTTTTTTTGTAGAGCATTTTTTGAATGAGATACTAGTAGTATTAATTATGTATTGTTTAGTCGTGAAATCCTGTATTTTTTATTTTACATAATATTAAAATTTTTTAATATAGGTTGTGAAGTGCCTAATGATAATTTAACATCTTGGTCTACGTGTAAAGATAAGTCAAATATTGAAAATAATCTTCAGGAAAATTTTGATCACAATTCACAATCAAATGATTCTGGATATTTCGAAAATGAGTCAAATTTAAACGTTAATGGAGTATCTAGTAATTATCAGTCATCAACATCTGACATTTGCCAAAATTATGGAAATCAACAGCCAGTACCAATCGTTATAGCGATACCTCCAATTCCATACGAATGCTCAAACTCAAAAGCTATTTCTGATGAAAATCACAACCAAGCGATTATCGGTCATTTTCCCGAATACATTTTCCCGAATGACTTATTTACCGAAAAGCCATTTTTCCGAATACCTTTTTTTCCGAATACTTTTTTTTCCCGAATAATTCAATTTGGAGGCATTTTTTTTTAAAAAAGTTTTATTGAGGCAGGGATAGTGGTGTTATGATATTTTTATGTTGCTGCTTATATCTGAGAGGTATTGTATGATGTTTTTCTTCCGCTTGTATCTCGGGTATTCATTTGTGACGCTTCGCAAGCGTTGTTGATGCTGCACCCACTTTGCCTTGGGTGCATTTTTCACGCTACCTCCGTGCACGTGATTTCATCGTCAGCATCTCTCGTTGCTCGCCGCACGACTCCAAGCACTGTAAAGACCTGTGTGAAAATGTTTGGAGATACCTTAAATGTTCCATCCAAGAAGCATATGTAGCTCCACGACAAAATTTCCAAATTTTTCGTCATACAGAAGGAAATGTTCGTCCATCGATGTCTTGGTGAACCGCTCTGGTATTTCACCCAATGCATCGATGGAGGTTGGGTTCGGGGGCAAATTTCTCCTCCGCAAACGCCGCATACTTTTCTTCAGATTTTCACGATCTGGTAAGTGGCTGTGAACATCACTGGACAAGCCGCTTAGTTCCGACCGCAAGATTCGAGCTGGCGGTTCTTCAGGATGCTCTTCAGCTTTCCGCTTAATGCTAGCGTAACGCGCATTACATTTGCAACATCACCACTATAATCACTCCAGATCAAATTTAAAATAATTGTACCTGAATTTAACTTTCTCCGCACTGCATTCCTCTACATCTGGAGGATGTGGGTGTGGCTTCTGGGCTGGTCCTTGCAATAAGACCAACGTTTCGTCCGAGTCCCCTGTCGTAATTGCACGAGCATTGCACTCCTTCGCTCGCAGCCGATTGCAGTCCCAGTAGGTCCTTCCTTTTGCCTGCCGGGACCGGAGGTACACGTACCCATCCACAAGTAATTTTGTTGTGCCCAAGAATTTTGCCATTGCACAACACAACGCGAATTTTTAATTTTTACAAACGCACAACACAACGCGCACTTTTAATTTTTACACACGTGCGAACTTGTATAAAACGCGGTATCGTAAATAAACGCAGACTTGTAAACTGAATGCTCGCGTCGCGACTAATTTGACAGATCACGCAGAGTCGTCACGGTAACCAATCAATATACATGCGCGATGTATATGACAAGCGCTCGATACATGGGATATGCATTCGATACATAGCTCTGGCTTTTTTTTTTTTTTTTTTTTCGGTAAAATAGGCCGTTCGGGAAAAAAGTTATTCGGGAAAAAAGTCATTCGGGAAAAAAGTTATTCGGGAAAAGGGTTTTCGGGAAAAGCGCTTCGGGAAAATGGCTTTCGGAAAAATGTATTCGGGAAAATATATTCGGGAAAATGTCCGGCTACCCAACCAAGCGCCTATTATTATAGAAGAAATACCTCAAATTTCATATGAAGACTTGAAGTCCAAATCTGTTTGCCCTGTATCTATAGAAGAAATGAAAAATACGTATGATGATAGCAACAATCAATTTGATGAATCAGTTCAGATTCACTCAGCCCCTTTGCCAGAAACTTCTGTAAAAACAGGTACTTTTTTTTAGTTTTTATCATATATTTATCATTTTTCTATCGTTTGTTTAATTTACTAATTTTTCAATGAATTATTATTTTCCTGTTCACAGAATCTACTTCTGTTATGTGTACGAATACAAATGATGAATCGCATGAAACAGCTCAAAGTGTATTCAATAATGCTTTTACTCTCCCGACGAAATATTTACCACAGAAAAAACGTGAAAAATTATTAAAATCGGGTAAACAAAAAACACAAGTTGCGGCAGTGACAGAAAAATGGCTAGAAAAGGAGCTGGAGAAAGAAAAAATTAAAGATGAAGAGATAAACCAGAAAATGAAAAAGAAATTGCAGCTTAAAAATTTAAAAAAAATGGGAATAGAGAAAAAACTATTAATGGAGAAGAAAAAGCAATTAAAAAAAGAGATAGAAGAGCAAATGGCAGAAGAAATGAAAAAACTAGAAGAAAAATATAATTATACTCCAAAACCTAAAAAAATTAAAGGAGAAAAAAATATTTAAGTTAATTTATACATTAAATTGTTTTGTTCATTAAATTGTTGTGTTATCTTGAAATAATTTAAACAGTTAATTTACTATATAAATTGAGTTAAATCGACATTTACTTTTACAAAAAGTGTTTTATTGTTCATTAAAGTAAGTTTTAATAAATATTGAGTATAATTAAATATTCCTTTTTTATTTGATAATTTTTAGCAACGACTTTTATAGTGTTTCATTAATAGGGACATATTGATTTGGAACACAGGGGCCGAGGAAAATCATAGTGTTCCAAATTCGGTACATAAGACAGCATTTTATTTTTTATGAAAATAAATTTTAAAAACTTCAAATCGGATTTTAAACGCATATTTTAAGTAGAAAAATGTCTAGCCCATCTGATGGAACATTCATTTGTAATTTTTATCAATTAGTTTAAAAGTTCTGGAAGATTGAAAAAAAGTTGTCCGAAAACCGTTCCATAATTGGTGCTTTTACTTTACGCCTTGCGACGATGCGCTAGGAAACTAGAGAAATCTAGAGAATTCATTTTAATAGTTTGACTTAATCAAATAAAATTTACAATTTATTAAAAAATGTTGTGTGAATTATAAAACAAATAATTATTAAAAGTATAATTTGTTCCAGGTTTTTAATTAGTTATGGATGTCCTGATTGCTCTTTTGTTGGGTTTTGCAGTTATGCTTGCAGATTAACAGGACTGGATCAATTTCATAAATATGAATGTGCTGTAATGGCATTTTTAATTGGTTTGTAACTGTTGTCGTGTTTTTGAATTTCATAATATTTATTAATCGTAAATGATCATTGTTAAAGAGTTTTGGCTTACAAGGAGACTATTCTACTGTGATGTCTAGAGAGCCACTTTAATATTATAATAATAAAATGATTGTCTTTTGGCTGGTGACAATGAGGGGAAAATATGTACGATGTGAGTTACAGGGTGGATTAGTCGTTGTTATTGGTTATAGTTAATTACAATTCAATTTATTCGTGGACATTCATGCATTCAAATACAAAAAGTTGACTTACACCTACGCTTACTGAACTAATTACAAACAATATTCTCGGTGTAGATGTAAATGACTTCAGCTGGCTCGGCTCGCTATTATTCTCATGGCTCACGCTGCAACTGGCTCGATTAGTTCCTGGTTGTCTGCACTACACTAGCTATACTAGCCTCGATTACAAATTACACTCCGTATTGGACTCGCGGCACAATTTAACACAAGTCTGAATAATATAAAATCGCGGTACAAAGTGACGTGAGCTCCACAAATCGTTATAGATAATATTCGAATCGCACAGAGACCTTGGCGGGTCCTAAATATTGTTTTAAGTTGATTTGTCCGGAGCCCAGTCCTCGGCGATGCTCGGCGATATAGGGGAAAGAGGCAGGAAAGATTAAAGACCAAAGGCCGAAAAATACTTTTTCTAAGGTTGCTTACAGCTCTGCGCATCGAGAAGCTCTCCTTTTATTCTACTTAAACTTTCATAAACAGACCCAAAATACGTCATAAAATACCCCCTCCCCCTTTTTTTACAATTTTGCCGTGCTACGCTGCTGTTATTATTTTGCTCGTCTTATATTACGACGCGTACCGGAGCTTACTCTCGTACATACATCAAACCTTCCCGCTTTGAAGGCGACGGTGCGGAACAATATTTTTTTTTTTTACTTTTCGTCCGTTTGGCCATTACTTGGCTGAAACTTCCAGTGAGAAGTGGCCTCCCAGGCTGGTTTTCTTCTATCAGAGCGTGTTTCAATTGCTGAGTGTAATCATCTCGGAAGGGAAAGGAGGCAGGTGGTGTCTGTCGTTTTCTTGCTTACCGTCCGGTGAGACTGACAGTTGCATCGCCCGAGCTCTGTGTTCCTCATCGATGATTAGGGTGAGTTTCTCCGATACAGAAGCGTTGTGGGTGATTTGCAGCTTGGGTGTCGTCCTTGGTCTCCTGAATTGCAGCCTCGTCCAGAGCTCGTTGGCTCACGAATCATACTTACGACTTCGGGATTGCCAACACGTCCAGAACTGTCTTTTCCAACTTCTTTGTGTTCGGGCTCTCAGTATTCTTGCAGGCAATAGCTGGGTATTAACTAGCAGTAGCCTCTCGTTGTAGATGTTACATTACTTGGTAGCTGTCCTTTCTTTTACTTTCGTCGAAAACTTTCCTCAATCCTGAAGAAGTTGTGTCTGTCCATTCGTCATGGTGAGCTTTCTTCATTCCTGGGGAAGTGTGATTTCTTCGATTCCTCATGAGGAGCTTTCTTCAATTTTGAAGAAGTGATGATTCGACTCCAAGTTCACGGAGTTGCAGAGCGGTGTTCGTCGTTTCTCGTTCACCATCCTGGGGACTGACGTTTGGCTTGCTTCTGTGTGTGAGTCTTGGTCGAATCAAAATGTCTTTCCTATCTGTCTGTGTCCACAGACATCAAGTTACTCGTTGTGGTGATTTTTCCTTGTGGACTGAATCTCCTTGCTTGGTGATTCACGATGACTTAGCATAATGGACCGTCGTAACTGTGATAGGATGTCGTGTCCTGGCTGGTTCTTTGGAGGTGCCGGTATCAAACTAACCTGTCACCTGTCAAGTGTTATTGATTTAGTGGCATCTTTTCTAATTTTGTTCTTTGTTGTATACATCCGGTGGCAAGAATATCCAGTGTATACGAAGAGGTTTAGGTATGATCTGCTTGTGATTTCATCGTATGGTTCTTGTCATCTGTTACCTGGTGCTTTACGAGAAAGGCATCGTATCGACTTATTCTATGTCTCTCGTCGTGTACCCTCGAGGATTATCAGTCTGGTGATTAGTATCTCATCGTCTTGATGTCTGATCTCTTGATCGCTCTGATCTTCTCGCTTTGCTTTTCTCTCTTTTTCCAGGTCTCTGGTGCTAAATTGTATAGAAGAAAACATACATGTGTGATAGGGGCAAGGTGTACGGGGTTCGACTCGTCTGTACAGCTTATATCTACGCGTGAGCTCAAGAGTGAATTCCAACGACTTGTAGCGCAAAAAGTATGCCGCTACAGTCGTTTAATAATAATATCATTATAATCTTAATTTTTTGCTTACAGACTATTATTTATCAGTTCTTACTACTGATTTCCAAGCAAGTGATGATTAATTCGAAAATTTTAACAGTCTTATGAGTATTAACTATGGAAAACTACATCACAATTCAGAAACCCGCTCATTTTCAATTTAAATTAAATTATATTGTCATGAATTTGTAATAAATGGGTAAAGATAATATGGTATAGGTTTTAATAATTAAAAAAAGATAAATTCTCTTAGGATATTGAAATGAAGAGTGATAAAATAACTCATACATCACTTTTACAATGTAATCCATAAGACCCATTTTATAAAACAACTAGCTACTAAAACATCGCTCTTAACTCACCTTTGTTTTCATAACTCGCTTACTCCTTCTATGGAGAATTGATCAAAACAATCAACTTACAGTCAATACTCAATAAACATCAAACTTATACATTCTGCACGCCACTTTCTCAACCAATCAGAACACTTATAGACTGACGAGACTTTTAGCTAATTCTTTTTCTGAAAGAGGATAGCATACTTAAAAACTGAGTATCTCTAGTAACTTAAGGGGGAAAAGGCACCTTTAACCTGCATTAAAAAAAAATTATTTTAAAAATACGAAAACAAATTTTTTGGACTATACAGAGAAAACTCTCTTTTTTTCACTCTTTTTTCAAAGTTTCTCACTCTGGAATATGCAAATTCCAGAGGAAATAACATTTAGGTCCCAGTCGCCTAAGAACCTCCCTCGATGAAGCAAGCTCATAGTCCTAAAAGGTACACCTGTTTCGTAGAACCCAGCTAGCACCAATGAACCAATTAAAATAAGGTGGTTTTTTGTTCAGAAGCTGTCTGGTAACAAATGCAAGCACTTTCAAATTTTTAAATTAATTATCTACAATTTGACAGCCATATATACACTTTTATTCATTAATATAAAATGATAAAATAGGTGGGGGGACATTTTTTATAAAATGGCGTTTATAAAGTTTTTTTTTTATAAAATAATTTTTTAATATAATAATTTAATTTTTAAAATAGTGGTGTGCATGTACATGCACTCGCACTCGCGGCTGAAGTTGCCGATCAACAGGCATACAACTTCATGTTATTTTATTATATATCTATCATCAACATCTCCGAAGGCTGGCACAATAGGCTTCAGGTCGTCATGGGAAAGGATCACCCGAGTTTTTACGCTTTTCTCACCGAACTGAAGAAAGAGCAAGCCGATACAGAAATAATGCTAAGGCAATTGCATATTGGGCAAAGAGTAAGAAAAGGGCAGGATCCGAAACGAGTAAAAAGGGAAGAGCGTATATTTACAATTGTCAGCAAGTACCATGAATACGTGCACAATGATGATATTATGACTTACTTAAAATCTATCGGCCATAATATACATTTATAAAGTCTTTATAAACTTTTATGAAAATATGTTTTATTAAAAAAAAGTTTTATAAAAAAGTGTTTTATAAAAAAATTATTTTATAATAAAAAAACTTTATAAAAAAAATTTTATAAAAAATGTACCCCAATCGATAAAATAATAGAATACTAGGATATAGCCTGAAAAACGTACTGATTTGGTCCAATAGCTATGAAAGTGCTTGCGTTTGTATAGCCATACTCATGTAGAACAACCCCTGAAAATTTCAGCTAATTTGCTCAAAGGGTTCATATGGAAAGTTACGACACAGAGCAATTTTGAGTTGAAACGTAAGTGCCCAAGAGTTGAAAAAAACAAAAATACCCCAACATATGTAATAATAATAATCGAAAGTTGTAACGGTGGGATCAGGTGGGGGCTATAAGTCGTAAAAGTTCGGTAACAAGTATTTGTTGTTTTATTGATAAACTAACGATTAATTATTTACAAATATAACAAATAAATTAAGCAAACAAAAGGATTTGAGTTTAGTTAAAAAGAGCAGAAAGCAAAGAAAAGTATTAACTTTGATTGCAAAAGAAATAAGAAAAGCTATATCTTTGATCACGTGAGTGAAAAAAGTAAGCAACAAAAGATTATTCAATATCAACAATTAGCAAAGATTAATCGATGATAGCCAAGCAAGTAGGTGACAGGCAAAGCGGACACAGGTGCGTCGGATTACCCGTTGGTGTGATAGGACCGGACAGTCGGTACCTGGAACAAAGTGAGTGTCGGTTCGTATAAGTATCTATCTATGGGAACAAGTGTCACACATAAACAGCCCCGGGTCGGTCTGTGAGGAACGGAGGAACGGTACGGGGATCGGGTCGGGGATGCTCAAGTGTGCCCACGAGAGTCGGAGAGAGTGCGTGTGCTCACGCACTAGAAGGTATGATTGTGTAACGTGTGCTCACGTTCACTGCTTGATACGTGTGCTCACGTACACTGCTTGATACGTGTGCTCACGTATCAAGAATCGAGCTTCTCACCTCGTGTGCTCACGATGCGTCGCTCGCTTTGGCTAGAGCCGAATCTGCCTTACCGCTGCGAGTTACCTGCTTATATAGGCGGATTTCGAACAATTTTAATAAAATTGTAAGAAAGAAACCAAAGGAATCAGCACCCGAAAGCGAACAAATGGACGTTCTCAATGTTACTAACACTAAAAAAAAACAAAACACAGGCGAACTAAAAAGATTGTTTCTAAATAGAGAACAATGTTATTAAATTCAAAATACATAAATATCATATCTAATGGATTTGTATGGCTTGCATATCGAGGTCATGATAAGTTATAATAGGAATGTCACCCGTATGGTGGATAAAGCTATTAAAAAAATCTAACTCTCGCAGTAGGTCCCTTTTGTTGTCGGACAGCGATCTGAATGTTCGGTGTCTCGATCCAAGCTCCCGCTGTAGGGTCACATATTGGTTTCTTAGCTTCATCTATTTTAACTTAGCATCGTCAGCTGAAACACAAAGTAAAATTATTTTTATAAATTTTTAAAAAATAAGACAAGATTTATAAAGAGATATAAAATACATGTCTCAGAACGCGTATAAACGAATAACCGCCGCGAAGCCGAGGTCGAGTAGAACCTGCACTGGGGCTTTCTTTTTTCCCGGTATAGACAAGTATACGATTTTACACACCCGGTGTCCCGAAAATAGCAATATCCCGTTTAGAGCAGTGGCTGGGAAATGATACTTTCGGGCCGCCGTATGTAAAATAATAATTATACTATTAAAAAGAAACGAAAAACTCACCATTCATGTTAATACCCCGGCGTCTGTTCACAAAGTTCGCTAAACGTCCTGTAGCGATGCAATTGATTCCAATAATGCTTGTGGCTATAGCAATGTAGTATTATTTTGCTCTAGGCTTGTCTAATGAAGGCTACTGTGTCGCGATCCGTTTTTATTAAAAATTTTTGTTGCGAGGCAGCTCTTGTCTATTCCACTGATCACATACGAATGAGCTACCAACCAGCTACTTCGATGCCAATGCCACACTAACAAATCACGCGTTTCAAAATGCTAACTCGGTGTGACGTGGTTCTGAGCGCTACGTATTGTTTGACTGTTTTACCGCGTAAACCACTAGCTGCAGTTGGTGCTTTTTCCTTCCACTTACAGAGATGTATGCACATCTATATAAAGTCTTCGTTCGCAGTTGTTTTTAACATGCCGTCTACAACGTATTCGTTTATTGTCAGTGGAACCCGTAAGACATGCCTGATCTCATTCATAGATTATATTATTTTTATTGATTCTACTTCTGTCGATCAAATTTGTCTCGCTAAAAAATGGCTCGCTATTTTTCGGTCAAAGGTGGTAAATTGGAATTAATCCTTTTTCTGTGGGAAAATCGTTATAGCAATGAAGAAATCGCAGTGGTATTTAATTGTTCAGAGAAGACAGTGAAAAAATGGGGGATAAAGTTTGACCTAGAAGTTGAAGACGGCATTGAAGCAATAGATCGTCGGGTGTTCAATCAACGTCCCTATCGTTTGAATAATGAATCTTTGCAAAGGGCGGTCAATGAGATAATAGCTAACCTATTTCAACCAGTCTGTCACCTTCCTCGGCTGAAAATGATCTTTCAACGTCGACCGAAGTGGTAGGGCAGTATTTGAAGTTTGGAATATTGCTTGGAGGCACGGTCTCAGGCAATTAAATATTTGTTTGAGTGTTAGGAAAATCATCTATTTGACATAATTTGCAATGTCCTGGATTATTTGCCAAAATATTATCTAATTTTTCTTTGATTTCTCCTAAACAATCTGGAATTTGAGTTGTTTTTACAAATGCTTCTTTAATAATAGAAATCGCATCTCAAGGAGGTAAGTTAGTAATGCACTTTGGTATATACTAAAAGTGGGTATTTATAATAGCCAAATCTCTTCTGATATTGTCGTCTTGGAAAGCTGCTTTACATTGCGGAATTGAGATTGCCTCAGAATCTTGGAATTGCATAATAAGATCTCTGGTTGCTTCAAAATTTTCATGATAAAACAAAATCCCTTGAATCCACGTCCCCCAACGAGTAATTACAGGTTCCGATGGCAAAGGGTGGTTTGTTGATGTTTCTATATATTTTAATATTTGAGAAGGTGCCTTAATAAATCTTTTTGGGTTGTTGCAATCAATTCATTTAAGTTGTCAAATATGGCGTAAATTTTTTCAGCTAAACGATGAAGCGCATGAGCAAAGTATGTAACATGAATCATGTTCTGATAAAATGGTTGCACCTTATTTATTTTCATGTTGAATATTTAGGTATTTTAATTGTGGCCGATCAATGCATACGTATGCTTATTTACTGTACTCTAATATGTATGTTTTGTGTGTAGCATCCGGCATAGCCATGCCAAATAAGCTAGTAATAATAATAATAAGTTATATCAAATATATTATTAATAACATATTTGATATTTCTATTATTAATGATAGTTCAGACGTTAAATCTTTGCTATTTAAAGACGTTTAAAAAATCTGAACACAATTGCTCATGCTAAATTTGTAAAAACTTAAAAACTTGAAAATTCGACGCAAAATATGCATCATTATGCAAAAATAATATTGCATATGCATTTAGAAAAAAATGTCAAAATATGCAATTTCATATGAAACGTATGCATTGGCATTTAATCAGGGCTCTAGTCATAAGTAACACTTTTTGGCATGGCTTAGGTATAGTTTAAGGCCCAAGCGCAGCGAGGGTCCTAATAGCTGGGTCGAAAAGTGTCCCCATGGTACGAGTATTGTACAATACTTTATACACAATGCTAAGTTCACATTTATGCCCCCTTTTCCGATGCATAAGTCGCACTTTCTGGTAACGCGAAGTGAGGTTAGCGCACGAGCGTATGCGAAAAGCGTGCCATAAATGTGAACTTATGCCACGCAGTGCTATAAATAAGTATTATATTACAAAAATTATACCAATGTACCCACAAACTGTTTTGGCCCTGTACTACCAAATAATTTGATCAATGTGTTTATTTTACTCTGTATAACAATTTTTTATGAATATAAGAAAATTTTTAATTTTATTTTCTAGGAGTTGGACTAAGTTCTATATGCCAATTGGCATTACGTTTGATAACCAAGATAGGACTGAATAATTGTTTAAAAATTTATCACCATTTAACCAAAGGTGAGTTTTCAATTATAAATAATTAAATATGTTTACGTGAATATTAAAGAGCTCAAATGGGACTTAAATATTTTTAATATTCTATTTGCAGTATTAGGCTGTAAAAGTGAAAAAAAAAAATTATTTTTGAAAAACAGCAATGCCTCCTTTTTCTAATATCTCATTTGAAAGAACTTTGTCCCCTTAGATATTTAAAAACAGTTATTTGGTATTTTACGGCACGCAGCCGTTTGACGTGAAGAACGCGTTTAACTCGGCTGGAACAGCATCCACGACGCGCTGCACCGGATGCGCACGCCTGAGAACCTGCTGAGAATTATCAGCAGCTACTTCTCAGCGAGTGAACAAAATTATCCCAGAATCCCATGATAAAATTCAAACCGAGATTGTCACCTAATACTAAAACTAGCTGAAAGTACACCCTTTTTTTGGTGTTCTTTATATTCAGGACGAGACCATCTTTTCGCAATTCGTTCAATTCTACAATAAGTTTTTAAAAAACAGCGCAATTGCCGAATTCTTTATGATCTTTTGTATCAATAACGCTGTCAAGAGTATATAATCTATCTTAGAGGAAAAAAAATGTGGAAAACATGGTAATGAGGAGTAAACTCCAGCGAATTTATTTGTTCCTGCAGCTGGTCCAAGGGCATTGCCACACTCAAAATCATCATTATACATGAACAAGGGAATGATAAATTTATCAGCATTCGCTTGAGTCAATTTTTTCCAAAACTGACCTTGCATGAAATTACTAACTTTTTCCGATTCATTGTTTAAAGAATCTATAAAAGAAAGAATCAATTCGAAAGTTCCTGGTACTTCTAATAAAATTTTGAGAGTCTATTCTAACGGAATGTATTGCCCGGTAGCATTACACCTATGTTTTTTCGAATTATACCCAACACTGAATACTTCGGGGTAAATTATCAATTTTTTTTCTTCATACGCACTGAACCGTTTAGTCTCGGAAGAAAATTTATCAAGAATCAGTTCTGAACTATTAAAAACTGATGCAATATCATCGATAATAGTATTAGTGTAATTTGATATTTTAATTTGTTGTTTCATGTATTGTTGGAAAGTACAATGAACGAAATTTTTTAAAATATCAATCACATCTTGTACTACATTTCTAGGAACCACTGGATTATTATATAATCGTAAAGTTAAAAAAATCAACTCGTTTTCCAGATTGATCTGTTTTTCAGACATTGTGATAAATGTACTGATCATAAATATAAACTTTTAAAATGAACAAAAAAGTACTGTTAAGCATGAACGATAAATTTAAAATTAATTCATGTAACAAAAATTTAAAATACCTCAACGTGTAGTATGAATGCTTTTAAAACGTCTTCTGAATTATTTCCGAAAGCCAACTCACTGTTGAGTGGCCTTTTCTTAAAAATTACTGGTAAGATTCGTGCTAGGCAAAAGAGAGCGTAAACTTCTGTCAAACCTGAAAAGAAATATGAACTTCATGAAAAGAACCAACATGAAAAGAAATATGAACTTCAAAAAATAGCAACAAAAACGGGTACTGCATTAAGAATGTCATTAACAAACCGTTATCAGTGTAAAAACTATCGGTTGACTTCACTTTTTTGTTATTCGCTGCATGAATAACAACTATAGGAGCAATTTTTTTCCATTCATCGCCCAAGTTAGGTGACTCATATGTTTTCCCAAAATCTGATGACAGCTAAAAAACAAGCAGTTGAATTAATAAAAATAAATTAACAATTTTTACTATGTGAATGTTTTTACTATACCAAAATGTGTCCGTAATTAGTATTCAAGCCTTTGTACAATGGTACATAATTCTCAAAACGTTTGCAACTATCTCGTGAATGAAAAGTCTCGTTCCAATATTTAATGATTAACTCCTTTGGGCCATCGTTTTCTCGAAGATATTTCAATGCATCTTCTGGAGTATCTGTAGAAGTTTCTGTAAATAAAAAAATTATTAAACATTGAAATATACATTGCAGCTGTACAGAACATTAATACTTTCATTATTTTGATTTTACCTTCGTTTTCAGAGTTCTCTTCAGAGTTTTCTCTCAAGAGTTTTTTATGTTTTGGTATTTATTGTATAAATGACCACCAGCGCCTATACTTTTTTTCTTTTCTTTTTTTCTGCTTATGGCTGGATAATAAAATTCCTTGGCAATCTTCTCAGCTGTGTTACTCTCACTTTTGAAAATGTCACCAGTTTGTGAGGCTAAGTCTTGGAATCGAGCTTTAGTCAAACTGTAACAAAACAAGAATATTTATGTTAATATAGAGATAAGATCTAAATGTGGCTATGGGCTATATCGTGTAAACACGGGGGGGGGGGGGGGGGGGG